TTGACCGTCACATTATAACGCCCCCACGGCTGAAAGGGGACGGGGATTCGAACCCGCGACCCTCAGATTGCGAGTCGAGCGCCCTAACCACCTGGCCATGCCGGGCCCATAAAGGATATATGAGAAATATACAATGCGCTTCATTTCATCGTTCTAGAGGCCATGTTACTTAAGCTAAACCTAAACGCTGTTTAAACTCGATGTATAGAATGAAATGTTAATTCCCTTGAAAATCATTAGGCATTACAAGCTCGAAAAAATAAAGATAAAAAAAAAAGTTAAAAGACGGTGGAATAATTAAAAAATTTAATGCTTAAGACAGCAATTTACTACAGATGTTTATCCACTTAAGGCCTATTAAAAAAAAAAACTACCGCCAACATAAATAGAGAAAATTATTTATAAACAAAAATTAATAACAACCATATCGTCTCGATTTGAAAACTCACAGATGCTAACGTTCACGTCAATGTTTTCTACTCGACGGTCCACGCCGTTTGACAGGAAGAGCCTTATACGATAAAAACCTGGTCGAGGGAAAACGTGCGTTACAGGGAAGGAACAATTGTGATTAGTCGAATGGTATCTGCACCTTTCGCTCGAGTTTGGTTGTTTTGTGTCCAGCACTTCCCAACAGAACTCGTACGGTCCACTAACAAGCGAGAGAAAAAAAAAAGGAATATTAACTTGTTTTCTTTAACTTACTACAGTTCTCTCTCCGAGAAGTTTATAAAGAATTACAATTGTAAATTTGAAACTCTTAAAATTGTTTTACAGTTTTTTCACGAACTTTCAGTTCAACAGTTACAATGTTCACGAACACACATTGAAGGATTATAAATTATTTTTATCACATCTTTCAATGAATATTGCTACATAATAATGTTTGCCGATAGTTGTTTAATGTTCTGTTGTTGTTAAATTAGGTGTGTCAGAGATGAACTGTCCATAATGGATAGTAAACCATGATGACTAAATAATATCAAAGTAAACAAACGTTCCAACAACTAGATCCTCACCTGCCACTACAAATCACTTTCAGTTCCAGTATGTCCTCTTCATGTAAATACACATTTCCACTAACGTTGACGTTATAAATAGGTGCTGGAAAATAATAAACTATGGTACAACATGATTTACATTGCGGAAAACATATTAAAACAAAGTCTTTAATTCGTTTAAAGAGAAGAATGTGTTACAGAAGACAGAAAGTACTGCAATTATATTTAAAGAAAGAGAAGAATGTGTTACAGAAGACAGAAAGTACTGCAATTATATTTAAAGAAAGAGAATAGTGTGTTACAGAAGACAGAAAGTACTGCAATTATATTTAAAGAAAGAGAAGAATGTGTTACAGAAGACAGAAAGTGCTGCAATTATATTTAAAGAAAGAGAATAATATGTTACAGAAGACAGAAAGTGCTGCAATTATATTTAAAGAAAGAGAATAGTGTGTTACAGAAGACAGAAAGTACTGCAATTATATTTAAAGAAAGAGAATAATGTGTTAAAGAAGACAAAGTGCTACAATATATTTAAAGAAAGAGGATAATGTGTGAAAACTGAAAAGAGTTTGAAAGCACTAAGTATGTTCAAGGACAAAAGAAAGAAGAGTAGACAAGTAGTGTATATGAAAGAATGAAGAGAACACAACAAAAAAACTTAGGGGAGAGAAGAGAGTATAATTGCAAAATATTAAATGGGGAGGTGGGCTAACAAATTTGACAGTCATTGGGCAGAAGAGGAATCAGAAGAGCAATTAAAATCTTTGAAGAAATGAAAGTTCAGGACAAGTTCAATGAATTCTATAGGAATCTAACATAGGTTAGAAATAAAATACCAGCAACTATGAACAAAATAGGGGAGACAACAAGTAGGAGAAAGAAATGGAGTCAGATATCTATGCAATTTGCAAACTACAATTAAAAAACGTTATTGAATTTAAAAGTTGACTTTGATATTGAGGATAGAAATAGAGTTGAGAAGAAAAAAAAAAGATAAATTAGGAATATTTTGAAAAACCTTAGATGTAAAATACATATATAAAAGAAACAATAAAAAGATATACATACATTCTTGGACAATGATGTTCATTAAGTCCTACATTATTTTAAATATATTTAAATGGCTTGGAAGATAGAAAAATCAAAGATTTATGGAAAGGAAGAAAGAACAGAAGAAAAAATGGTCAGTAGACGGAGGTGGTGAAAAATTAAATATCTGGGATATTGGATTAACAACAGGAATAAAGCAATGAAGCAGGTAAAATATATTGAGATAAGAACACAATGAGCACTAAACATAACATGAAGTGTAGATACAAGAAGTGGACTCAAAAATGGGTTGACTACTGCAACTGTTTGAAATCCTGTGAATCAACTATGTAGCAGAAATTTGGAAATGGGACAAAAAATAATTTAAAAAGAATATTAAAAAATATTTAGAACTGACACTGGGTTCAGATAAAAGTGCATACTACAGTGAAACTTTGTTAATCTGAATACATCTGCAACAAAATAGTTCCAGATTATTGAGACATTGGGATAGTCAAATCAGACATTTTGAATATAACAAATACAATTAATAGCATGTGTTATCTACCAATAAATGTAAGGACTAGCATGCAACTGGTAAAAAAGCAACTGTATGCACAATAAACTTAGCTTTATACATTTTACATGGTGTCAGAGTATACAAATTGCATAAATAAAGAAGCATATTATATTATCATCTTCATCTAAGTCATTATTTTGTTAAATCTAATGACTCACTTATTGTAACCAGGAATCCAACCTGCTTTACAATGGGAGTACAGATTCCCTAATTACAAGCTTCTTTGCAAAAAAATGTTCATTTACACCTTGAAACCTGTCCCCTAAACAATACACAGCACAAACTCAAACAAACCTTTGCAATACCTGGCATAAAACTAGTAAATGTCATTTTAGTCCTACCTATACCTCTGCTCATCACATTATTATGAATACCTGGTTGAAATTAATTTACCTCATACTTATGTTTTCTCTAAGGAGGTTCTGTTGCAGCCCTTCTGTGGATCATTAATGTATATTAATATTCTGTAAAAAATTCTTATTGTAATATTTGTAACTTTCATTACCCACAAAGTCTTTAGAAACATGCTTACTAAAATACCTAAAAGATTCCATGACCAGTAAAATTAGAGCAGCAGAAAAATTAAACAAAGAATATCAAGATGCCACTCAATTTCTCCATTAAGAATAACCAGCCATAATAGAACACAACTATATCAGTCATAAATTGGAACCAAAGTCAAATACTTGAATCAACACAGTTTAAAAAAAACAACAAAAAACCACGACAGCTTTTTTTTGTATTTGTACATTAAAATACATCAATCATCCTAAACCATGATCAAAGCATAGATGTCAGTCCAATACGGGTTCCTTTCGAACAGAACAAGAATAGTGTTTCCATGCACCTCAAAATAGTTTAGTTCTGATAACATCACACCTCTTACCTAAGGCTCAGAAATATATTCCAACTACGTTCTTCCATATTTCAGTTTGCATTTTTGGTTATATGCATTTCCGGATTCTACTTACAAAAATTCTCAATTATGGCTGGATTTCAACAGGATTTCCCATACTACACAACCAATTTGATTTGATTAAGGTCTGCACCAGCAGCTCAAAACATCTTCCTAAAAATTCTAAGGCAGATGCACTTTGCAGAAGTTTCATCAAGTATTTGTCTACCAAAACTATCTTTTAAACAAGAACTGTTTGCTTACTTTAACAGTTACCTACTAGATGTTGCCTCTGTGTTTATAATTTCACTAAGATTTGATATACACAAATAAATCCATGAATAATAAGAAAAGTATAGCCTCCAATGTCATTGACTACAGCTTAACATAGTTA